CAAATCAGGGGCTTACATAACCCAGCAGGAAGGGCAAGAGTAGCCCACGTGAGAGAGAAAGCAAATGTAATCTCAAATAAGACCCCGGTATTACTGATTAGAAAGACCCTGTTGAAACAGTCGTGCTGAAGCCTGACAGCTTTGATGACTTTGGATGAAAACAGTTCCACAGGCTCACATGCTTGAATCCTTGGTCCCCATTGGTCGAAATGTTGGAAAGGGAGTAGGGTATGTGGCTTCTTTGAGGAGGTGTCACTGACAGTGGACTTTGAGCAACTGCTGCTCCTAGAGCAACCTCTACTTCCTCTTTCCAGATCTAGAAGAGAGCTCTCTCTGCTGTGGCTGCTGCAATCCAGATCTCCAACCCAGGGAAACAAAACGTGAGTCCAGTTAAATGTTTTCTTTTGGAAATTGCTTTGGCAGTGAAGTCTCCTGACAGCAATACAAAGTAACTAATTCTGTGCCTTGTAGGAAAGTTTCTGCTTCCATGACTGAGCTTCCTGTTTGTTGCTCCCACATTAGGTATCTTTATACCATGAGACAAGCAATAACCTCTTTTGGCAATGATTGCTCTAGCTGTTCTTACCCTCTGTTCAGGGGGGGGGGGGGCTCAATGGCTTGAATACCTTTAATTGTTTTCTGTTCTATTTTCTCCTCATCACAGGGGTGAGAGAGAGGGAGTCTGTCTGGGGAAGGGCTCTTGAAGGACATTTGAGATAAGTGATTGTGTCTGAAATTGGAGGAGTCATGCTCTCAGATTTGGCTCCCAATATGTATAAACAGTGCATATCAATTTACCAACAGGAGAAGGAGCAGGCATGCCTTCTGCTAACACTTCTCAGCTCCCTACTCACTCACTATAAAAAGCTTCTCAGTTCACCACCTCCATGTGTGCTCCATAGTTGAGGGCACTGCCCTCATAAATGCCATTAGTGAGTGTCATTCAGCTCGTTTCTGTGTTGAGGGGGTATTCCCTATTTCACCAATATATCAACAGTGTCTGATCAGGTAGGCAACTAAGAGTGAATAAAGAGAAAAATAAGGTACAGAACACACAGATTTTTATCAAATAGCTGGCATAAGTAGGAAAGAGGCAGAATTCTTTGAACATAAATATGAATTTAAAGTGTTGTTGAACATGAGCAAGTTGCATAATCATGAGGAGAATTAAGAAACAGAAGGTTACTGAGAGTCTACAGCCAAAGCATTTAATCACTATACTATATATAAGAGAAAAGGGGAGAGGGAAGCATATGGAAGAAAAAAAAAGAAAGGGGGAAGCTGACTGACTCTTTTACTGGCTTTTGGGAACCTGCTCCTCATACTGGGTCACCTTGCCCAGCCTAGTTCCTCCAAGGTTAGCCCTTCTGGTAGCACCTTCCACTCCCTATAGTGGTTTCTTAACCACTTCCTCTTGTCTCAGGCTACCTTCTCTGGGGAATCTCCAGCATACTAGACAGAGTTGCCTACTGGTTCAGGGGACCGTCCCCTGTTGACTAGGGTTGTTCTTTAACTTACTGATCATCCCACTGGTCTATTTAGACTCTAGCAGAACACCTGAGACCTTTGCACCAAAAACTGTGCAAAAAATCTAAATTGGGGTCAAAATGAGTATTGCCTGAATTTGCAGGAGGCAAGACTGAAAGAAGACAATATCCATAAAGAAAGACCCTTGGGTTCCATGTCCAGTATGTTCCAACTGGCTTAGGCAGTCCTATCCCTATAGCCTTACTGTTATGGTAAAACTAAAATGTCACAGGTCCCTGAGTGGTGGTAGTGGGCAATGGGCCAGAGACCATGGCGGGCCACTAAGGCAGCTAGTCCCAGGCAGGGAGCCATGCAGTGGATGAGAGACAGAGACCTATTAGGCATGCTGTAATGGTAAAGGTAAAAATACTGCGGATCCCTGGCAGCTGCAGGAGCAGAAATTCTGCAGGTCCCTGAGCAGTGACAGTGAGCCATGTGGTGGCAGGCAGTGAACAGCCAGTCCCAGGCAGGGATGGTGCAGTTCCCTGAGTGGCTGCAAAAGCCACAAAGAGAGAAAGAAAGGTGGGCATGCGATGAGACCATGCCAAGGTCTCCTAAGGTGGCTGGTCCCAAGCAGTGAGCCATGTGGTAGCAGGCAAGAGACAGAGACATGGATAGGCATGCCATGCAGAGTGAGGTTGGATATTTATTTAGTGGGTTATGGGGAGGAAAAAGAGAATGTAGAAGGGGGAAGAGCAGAGAGACAGAGAAAGAGAGAG